ACAACAGACGGGCACGCAGGCCCAAAGAATACAAATGTCAAAGGCACGCAGGCCCGCTATCCTAGTCAGGTTTCCCCAGAACCATCATTGTCGACGCCGGGAGAGTCGGGCGGAGGAACGATCACACCATCCACGATCTGATGTGTGTGGCCGATACCCTCAGTGACCAGACCAGGGTTTAACAAGGAGAGCTGACCGACGGCAGAGTCGAACCCCTCCTCCAGAGCATCGACGCAATCTGCCTCGAGGAGCCGGATATGGGCGACCAGCTCCGATCGACTCTTCAAAGCCGCTATGTCCTCCGGCTCGTCCTCGGCAGGTTGCATGGCAGCGTTCATTTCCTCGATCTGCTGGGCCAAGCGTCCGACTTCGGCTCCCAGACGATCCCTGTCTTCCCGGAGAAGCTCCCCCTCCTCGGCCAACTTCCCCGACTTTTCCTTCTCCAGGGTCAACATCTCCCTCTCAGCATCCAGCATCGCCGTCTGCTCGCGGAACATCTCCTCGGAGCGTTCCAGAGCGGTCTTCAACTTCCGCGAGCTCGAGGTAAGGGCCGCTTTCTCCTGCTCGAGTTCTTCGATACGGGCAGGATCCCCCCCTTCCTCGGATAGCACCAGGGCCATCTCGGCCATTTTCACCAGCCCGTCCATGCTGGCGGCCAGATACATCTTCCGATCCTCTTTGCTCATCCTTTTTATAGCTTCAGCCTCGTCGGCAACCACTGTCAGAGGGAATCTCTCGAAGAAGCCCTCCTCTTTGAAGCAAGGGGGGAACGCGAAAGACCTAACAGCACTGGCGTCCTCGCCAACAGTCGGACCACTTTCCACCCGGGTCCTCTTCCTCTGCATCAGGACGGCGCTAGGGTCGACCTCTTCAACTTCTGGGGTCCCATCCGACGCGGCCCCCGAGCTTGGCGGCGGGTCCACCCTCACCGGCTGAGGAGCACTTGGACTGTGTGGCGGGCCCATCCTCGTCACCTGGGGGGCCTTCACGACCCTCCTGCCTCGCTTCTGGTCGCAAGACAATTTCAAAAGCCTTTCCCGTCGACCGGCCATCGAACCTGCACAAAATAAAAGATGGGTTAGTATCGAGCAAGCTCATAAATAAATGACGAGCAAAGAAATTCAAGCAATAAACAACCTAGCAGACGGGCAGCCTGCCTGTACGTCTGGCACTCCACGAGCGCCTTAGTATCAATCGGCCGGGACTCAAACGTCGGGTAACCATCTGCGTCCAAGATATTGTCCCCTTCCCTCGTAGCCCACCGGGCAGGGTGGAAGCTATCGACAAACCGACAAAGTGTGGCGTACGCCTCCTCGTCCTCCGAGCACATGTCCCCGGCAGCAGTATGATAGTAACCAGTCCCGTGCTCGTAGTGCCGGAACATCCAGTGCACAGGGAACTTAGCCGTACGGGCCAACACAGGATTCCCATCGTCGCCCAAAACCGCCTCCCCGTCATCATCGCTTAGGGGCTCCTCCTCCTCGTAAAGAGATCCTAAAGCAGAGGTGGTAACTAGCCGCACAACGTACCACTTGTCTTAAAAACCCCTTACGGAGTCCATATACATTTTGAAGAGTCTCCTCGACTGCTTCAAGGAGACCCAGCTGTGTTTCCCTCCTCGAGACTGGCGCTGCAGATGAAAAATCCGGAAGAAGAGCGGTATGGTCGCCCCGATCCTCAGATAGCGACACGTCAGCTCAAACGCCCGGATGATGGCGAGTGAGTTTGGATGTAGCTGGGACGGGGCCAGCTCTAGGTGAGTGAAGACCCCGACCTGGAAATCAGTGAAGGGCAGCTGCAGCCCAAGATCTTTGAACGCGATCTCGTACATCGCGAAGCTATATTCTGGATACACCGAGCAGATCCTTGAACGGGAAGACGGGTGCATGACAACGAAATTCTTTTGGAAGTCGGGTTGGCCCTGGCCCGCTTCGAGGACAGCATATGGATTTCGGTCGCCCCGACTGTAGATCGACGCGATCCCTCGGGGCTCGGCGCCCACCCAATCCAGCAAAGGGTCGTCGACAGTATCAATCAAGCTAACCGACTCATCGGCACTTTGTTCTTCACGATCGTGGCGCCCGGAGGAGCACGACTCGTCCGCCATGGTTACCTGCAGAGCACGGGAAACCAGTCAATTGGGCACGAAGCCATACGCTCGACAAACCACGTCATCCCACGCACGACCACATAGTCAGTTTACACGAGTAGTTGCCTCCCCGACATCCTGAAACTCGATGTGTTCTTCCTCAAACCAACTACGCGGCCACTCTCCAACATGTCGACCCAAGGTATGAGCATGGCGAGCCACATCATGAAGCCTACGGCCAAGACCATGAACATACCGGGCGCGATCATGAATCAGGCGCCCTGGATCATGAAGACCCCGGGCAGCGCTGAAGTTTATCACCTAAAACTATGAATACGCCGACCACAAACATGCGTTTGCCGGTCCTAAGCATGAATATGTCGAGCTAAGTATGAGTTTACTGGGCTAATCCCACGCGCACAGTCCCTAAGACATCTACAAACGCCAAAAATCATGCATTTTAACAGGAAAATGAAGAAGATAAACCACTTACTTGGATCAAAAAGTAGGATTCGGCTACGGAGTAGAAGAATATGTGACAGAAGATCGCGACTGGGAAAAATCTGGAAGAGCAACAGCAGAGAGAGCACAAAGAATAGAAACGTGTTATGGGGCCCAAGGTTCCTATTTATAGTGATGACGTGGAATACCAAACGTCACCTCGGGCAACCACAGAGTCTCTCTCCCCGACGCGCTGCTCCCAACGCAATGATGACCCTATCCCCATAGGGTGGCGACACAGTTCCCGAAAGATACCTCGTATGCTCGACAGACGCGCCCCGGTGAGGATCCTCCAGGTATCCACCGCGGAAGATGTCCCCGAGCACGGCACGAGGAGGCCCTCGAGGGTCTGCACCTCTGTCCCGGGCACGAGACCTCGATGAGGAAACGACCTGAGTTCAAGCCATGGCTCCTCACAAAGGAACCACGACTTGGGGGGCTCCTGTTCTGGACTGGGCCCGACAGGCCCAAAAGCATTGCAAAGGCCCAGTCCAAATGGACTTACAAGGGCCACGCCGACCAAAGAGCACGACTGTGCCCGACGGGTAGTCGCGGGCTCGACAGCACACCTCCAGCTCGACATGCTGCGGTCCAGCACCACATCCTGAGGTCCAGCTCGACATTACCTCGAGCACCCCATCTAGGGCAGATTCAGTCCACTGTTCCCCCAACGATACCCCGAAAAGACCGCGTCTCCGTCCGCCCGCACTTCACGCAGAACATCCAGGAAGGGGACCACGTGCGGGTCCCCACTACGCACGTAGAACCTGGCAGTTCCTCCATTGGGCCAAACCTGCCCGGCCCAATGAAGGAACCTTGGCCCAGCGCTGGGGGCTATAAATACCCTCTGTTTCCAGAGGGTCAGGTATTCATCATTCTAACCTTACACTTGCTATTATCTGCTCGTACTCCTACTTACTTCAGCATCGGAGTGCCTTGTAGGTACCCCCCCACTTCGTTCAAAAAGCTTTCTGCTCGGAGCCAGCCGTGACGGTCCATTTCTGATCAGGTCAGATCAATTATTATTATTATTATTATTATTATTTTTATTATTATTAAATTTAAATAATCTCAACTAAATTATTTAAATAAAATAATTACTTCTAACTATCATATAATTTCATCACTACCCCACAACATATTATCACGACACACATTATTCCACAAAATCACATATATTCATCAATAATGTATAATTAATTAATTAATTAACTATAATTTTTGGGGTGTTATAAATGACATAACATGTCAACCGATTACACCGGAGAGTTTTCAATTTTTATTTTGTTTGATAATTGTACCTTAACATATAATGTAGGGTTAAATATGATTTTTGGTCTCTAAAAAAACATGACAAACTTTAGTCCCTACAAAATTATTATGCACGTAGTATAGTCCTTGTTGTTAAACTGATGTGTATTTTTGAATGATTATTTTACAGATATGATTAGAACTTTATAAAAAGTTTCTTGAAAAAAAAGGAACTCAAAATTTTATTTCTAAGTTGAAATTTTCGTTACTTTCATCAATATCTTTTAAAATTTAAAAAATTCATATTTAATTCATCTAATTTAAAAAATTCTAAAATCTGATAAATAAAGATTTTATAGTAGAAATTAAAACTACATAAATATAAATTTCGTAGATCAAAATATATCAATTTTTAATTAAAATTTAAAATATTTATAAAAATCAAAAACATATTTAAACTTATAATATATAAATACCACTAAAATATGTTGTGAATAAACTAATACATATTTTCACACTCAATTCTCTTCCTCTAATTCTCTCTCACTCTCTCCTTTCCATACTCAATTACTCAATTATTTTATTCAACCTTATAATTACAAGTTCCACATAAAGTGCATATATTTAGAAACCGATAAAGTAGTACGATGGTTGAGAGATGAAATTAAAATTTGGAAAATGCTATTATTTAGGATTTTTTTTTAAGGATAGCTAAGAATGAGTTTCCATGGCCAATTTCACCCACTCCTTCACCAATACCCCACCTATGTATTATGTCAAATTCCACCAATTTTTTTTAAACTTTTATTATAAAAATGACAAGTAATTGTTCTCGTGTTTCACTGGCACATGCTTCGTAATATATAGCAATGCTGCTAAAAGTTTATCTTGAAGTTTACAAAAAAAAAAAGGTTATCTTGAAAAGATAAGAATATAAGAAGAGGAGATTCGAAAACCAGATACAGCTGTGTCCGGTTAGTCAAAGCCAAAATGTACCGCCTGAAAATAAAACAAACAGCAACAGGTGTATCTCTCCGTGTTCCTATTTCACTCCCTTCCCCCGGCTATAAATAGAGCTCGCTCATGAAGTAGTAGTTCATTCCACACACAGATATACCAAAAGAAACTCACTCATACATTACCATCATCATCTGTTAACATGGCGTCGAACACTGTTGGTAAAGTCATCAAGTGCAGAGGTCTACAATCTCTCTTTTGATCATTTTCCTTTTGTTTCCTACGATAGTTTTATCTTCTGTTTATTGATTGTGTTTTGAAAATTTGTATTATAATTGTAGCTGCGGTTGCATGGGAGGCTGGGAAGCCGCTGGTGATTGAAGAAGTAGAGGTGGCGCCACCACAGGCCGGTGAAGTTCGTCTCAGGATACTCTACACCTCCCTTTGCCACACTGATGTTTACTTTTGGGAAGCTAAGGTAGATTATAATGAAAATAGTGTGTTTCGTTTCTTGCTGTTGTTATGAATCGCAATAGCTTAACATGGTTTTCTTTTTTTTTTTTCATGTTTCAGGGTCAAACTCCATTGTTTCCTCGTATATTAGGTCATGAAGCTGGAGGGTACGCTTCTCTTCTCAACATTGAAAGCTGAATCACCTATTATAAATCTTAGTTTTATATATTTTGACAGAGACTGTTTTTTTATCATTTATTTGGATTATGTAACGGGAATGCATGTTATGGATAATTGTTGGGATGATGTTGATCAGGATTGTGGAGAGCGTAGGTGAGGGTGTGACTCATCTCAAACCTGGGGATCAAGCACTGCCAGTATTCACAGGAGAGTGTGGGGATTGTCCACATTGTAAGTCAGAGGAGAGCAACCTGTGTGATCTTCTTAGGATCAACACTGAGAGAGGTGTCATGATCAATGACAACAAATCTAGATTCTCTATCAAGGGACAGCCCATAAACCATTTCGTCGGCACCTCCACATTCAGCGAGTACACTGTGGTACATGCTGGATGTGTTGCAAAGATCAACCCTAATGCACCACTTGACAAAGTTTGCATTCTCAGTTGTGGAGTATGCACAGGTATATATATGGAAGATCCCTAACTTGAGATATTAACATATAACTAGGCCGAATCTATGTTTCCTCAGTGTAATTTGCATTGATGGTTATGTAGGTTTTGGTGCTACTGTGAATGTTGCAAAACCAAAACCTGGCTCTTCTGTTGCTATCTTTGGACTTGGAGCTGTTGGCCTTGCTGTATGTTGCTCTTGTACCTTTGTCTGCATGTGTATGTTGCAGTTATGACTGGAGATGAAATGAGTCAATATTATTAACGCATGCTCTTCTCTTTAATAATGTAGGCCGCTGAAGGGGCAAGGATCTCTGGTGCATCAAGAATCATTGGAATAGATTTATTCCCCAACCGATTTGAATTAGGTACATTGTTTTTATCTTCCATCAAATTTTTTAAGATTGAGTTCAACATAAATTCAATACTATTCTTTTATTGAAGGCATTTTTTATGATTTTCTTGTTGGCAGCTAAGAAGTTTGGGGTAACCGATTTCATAAACCCTAAAGATCATGACAAACCTGTTCAACAAGTTAGTTCATCAATAATAGTTTATTATATTTCTAATCTATATGCCTTTTCTAACTTTTTGAGTATGATTCTATGGATTAAAATGATGTTGCTGTACAGGTAATAGCTGAAATGACAAATGGAGGTGTGGATCGTGCTGTTGAATGTTCCGGAAACATCCAGGCCATGGCCTCAGCATTAGAATGTGTCCATGATGTATGCAAAACAAAAATCATTTGCTCTTACCTGTTGCTAAAGAAATTATACATCTTACCAAGGCAAAAGCTGAACCTTGATTTGTTCTTATTAGGGTTGGGGTGTTGCTGTACTTGTTGGACTTCCAAGCAAAGATGATACCTTCAAAACTCATCCTGCGAATTTCTTAAGTGAAAGGACTCTGAAGGGTACCTACTACGGAAACTACAAACCCCGCACTGATCTTCCTAATGTTGTAGAGAAGTACATGAAAGGAGTAAGCTTCTATTTATTGAATTCTGCAGTGTTTTTAGAAGGATAAACAAATATTGCAGAATTATATGTTATTTGTGTTGTTAATGTGATGTTACTGTGAATACTTACTGTAGGAGCTGGAACTGGAGAAATTCATTACACACAGACTACCATTTTCAGAGATTAACAAAGCATTCGATTACATGCTGAAAGGGGAGTCCATCAGATGTCTCATCAAAATGGATGAGTAAAACTCTAAAACTGTGATGTAATAGTCCCTACTAGGGGACAGAGGCCACTCTCTAGTTTTATAAGAATAAATGTAATAAATAATCCCTTTTGGATTATACAGTTTGTGAAGTTTGTACGTAAGGAACTGTGTTGATGTGCTGGGATAGTCTAATGATGATAAATTAGACATTGAGTCTGTTGCTGTTGTTTATATGGATATTTAAGTCATTTTATTCAACGGTGAAGGAAAATTCGTAAACAGTCCAAACAAACAATAAGAACTAACAAAAAATTTACTAATCCCAAAGATGATATACACCATGAGAAAATGAACAGGTGATTGTAATGTAACAACAAACAAATTCCGGAGCCCAAAGTGTACGGAAATTAGTGCAGAAAGCAGCAAAATATTTATTTAGGGTTTTATTTTTCACAGATTTTCTACTTATACAAGCTAAACATAACAAAATTGACTTATTAAATTCTATTAGTAACAAACGATACCAACTAATGATGTAAACATGTGAGAAAGAGAAAGTTTCTTGAACAACCAAGAAACCGTTCAATTTTACGAAAGAGGGAAGAGAGAGAAGAGGGAAGAAGAAGCAGTCTTTCTAACAAGTGAGAGAACCAGTCTATTTATAGACTACTAGCCTATGTATGATGATAGCATAAATACATGACATGCATATTTACAACATCATACATAATAAAGTTAACATAGAATATTGCATACTAGAACATACTTCGACTAAAACATGCACTTCGAGTGTTGCATGTTTGAACAGACTTCAATTACAACATGCATTTTTGAGTCGAACCATGAAGCTACCCCTGTCAAGACTAGAGTTCGATTCAAAATACCACAAATCTCTACCTTAGAATAAACTCTACAACATCAAGGGAACAAACTAGCTTTGATCATCATGCAACTTTATCAACTGCTTATAGTGGAAGAACTTATTATTTGGAAAAAACTTGGTGACCATATCTGCAACATTCTGATCAGTCAAAACCTTAATCACTTTGACTTCTTCACTTTCGATTTTCTCCCTGACGAAATGTAGCCTAACATCGATGTGTTTTGTTCTCTCATGGTAGGTTGAATTCTTCTACAGATGTATATCACTTTGACTATCACATTAAATAGTGATAGATTGACCTTGAAGTTTCAGCTCCTTCGCAAACCCTTCAAGCCACAATACCTCTTTTACAGCTTCAGTGAGGGAAATATATTCAACTTCAGTGGTTGATAAGGCTACAACCTTCTGAAGTGTCGCTTTCCAACTAATTGATGTGACAAACATAGTGAAAATATATATATCGTAACTGGTAAAAAATAAGAGTCGCCACCACTACTTTTTGTTCTAATGACCGGAAAGAACGGATAACCCTAAATTTTTCAGAGATTCTAAATTCGCGAGTTGGTTAAACAAATGGAAGGTGTTAGGTACCCTTCATCTCCCTTGTTCTCAAGGGGCTTCCCATTTAGGTTTTAGGATAGATTAGGAATTTCTACTTAAAGTATGTTATTATCATGTGTACAAGAAAATGTTTAATTTTTTTAGTTATGGGACTCTCCTTGATTTTAACCGTGTGCCTACGTATCCTCTTGCGAAAAATCAGAGTCCATTTCGTAGTTCGTTATGTGTTTGGTTAGTTTTTTTTATAGGATTGTGTAATTGCTTTCAAACGGTTCTTTGAAATTCGTCCGTGTTTGAAAGTTGTGCAGTTGTAGATGTAGTTCGAAGTTTAATTTGAAAGCAAGTTCACAATCTTCTTTTTTTAATTGAATTTTGATTAAGTTAATAAAAATTTTAAAGTTGGTTAGCTATTTTAAATGCCTAATTGATAAAAATATTTGAAGTTAGTAAAAATTATTTAATTGAATTAATAAAAAATGGTTAGTAATTTAAAAAATAGTTAATAATACTATTATATAAAAAAAGTTTATCATTTTTCTACCAAAAATATATAATACATTTGCCAAAAAAAAATATATATGTTAAAAATATTATTTATTATTTTAATACAAAAAAAATATAAAAGAATTTAGAAAAGAAAAATAAATAAAATGTCAAAATAATAAAAATAAAAAGAATTTTAAATGACAAAAGGGGGTGTATTTTGTTTTGAACGTAGTAAACAGGAGGTATCAATAGTTATAGGCTTAAGCGCAGGATAAGTTAAGTGATAATACGAAAATGTATCGCTTTTTAGGTCTAATTTACACGAGTTATTTGTACGTTTTTATAGAATAATATGTATCACGAAGGTATTTTTACTTGTTTCAGGTAAACTATATTTTCCAAGGAATAAGATGGCAAATTAGTTAAAAGGAGTAATACAAGCTAGAAAATGGCAAGAAGAAAGAAGAAAAAGAGTAGTCTGTTAAGAAGCTCACTCCAGAAGGGTGTTACGAGCGCAACGTCTAGCGTTACGAACGCAACACCCAGCCAACACCGTTACGAACGTAACACAACGTGTTACGGACGTAACAAAAATCCTATGTTGTTACGAACGTAATGAATATCATTACAAACGTAACGTTTTAAATACCCAGTCTACGCAGTAAACCACGAAGCGGCCACACGAAGTCCACGCGAAGTTTTTGGCACCTCGTTCCACCAGCCAAGAATTTAGCGCACGTACGAAATTAATGGAAGAAGACAGTTACAACCAAAGGCCTATATATATCTTGAAGAATTCACTTTGAAGGGGGTCAGAGATTTTGCTACAGAACCATACTTTTTCCTTTCTGCATTATTTTGTTTATTTGATTTTGAACCATTATAGCCTCTGTAACGTTCAGTTTCCAAAAGTAGTTTCCAAAAGTGTTAATTCTTCATCGAAGGATTAACACGGTTAGTCCTATATTTCAATTAATTGCAAGGCTACTGTACGAACTCAAGATTACCACAACAACATAATTATTGGTTTTTTATGCAATTGGTTTTTTTTTATTGTTCATATGCCATGTTAATTATTTTTATGAACTGTATTTTACGTTGCATGGTTACTAAATACATTATGTCTGGCTGATTTCGTTTGTACCGGTATGTGACTCCTAAGCACCGAAGGAATTTGGTGATAACTTGGCTAAAAACTTTTATAAAGAATTTATGGTTTCCAATTTTCATATTTAATTTAACTACCCTTGTCACGAGAGTGAAAGGATATTTAACACGATTTTGCCACGAGAGTGGGAAATTAATTAAGGCAAGGACCTGCATGCGAGAGCTGGGGTTCGACCCAGATAGTGGTAACGAAACATTAATTTTTAAATACACGAGAGTGTTTTAACAAATTAATTAAACTCAAGTCATTTTCAAAAAGTGTTATTAAATTTAAAGTGCATCCACTAGGTTTAATAGCATAACTTATTTCATGAACACGAGAGTGTATGTCTCAGGTTTTTAAACAATTCGTTTTTACCGAAATACTTTATATGCCAAGTGATTCACCGAGTTCCTGAAGTCCGACTATCACATACCGGTATAACTATTACTATTGTTTTTAATTAAAATCTTTTTCCCCTAAAACCAAATATTCATCGCTTAGTTAAACAATTGTAACATTAGATCGTATGTGATTGATCCTCAGTCTCTGTGGGTTCGATAATCATTTAAAACTAGAACGACTAAATTGTATACTTGCAGTTAGTATCCCGATAGACTCATAAAGTCCCGATCATTAAGCCCAAAACACAGAGGGGGTATGAATCATGGTTGAAGTTATCAATCCAGGGGTGTAAATAGCGTTAGGCTTGGCCTAGAATAATTTTTTTAATCCATTTGGACATTGTAAGGTGAGTTCTATAGTGTTACAGTGCATTAGCGTGATTAGGAGCGTTAGATTCAGATCACAAGGTCTCGAGGAGTTAATCCTTGGACTTTGATATGAAGTATAACAAACAAAGGGCCAGGATTGAAGATTCATTGCAACACATGGTGAGAGAGAGTGCACAGAGGCCAGTCAATGGTCCTTCTATCGCATGGCCAGCAAGTGGTCACGCGTTGCACATCTGATGAGTGAGGAATAAAGTATTTAAACGAACTTCCCACACCTTGTTTCATTTTTCTTCTTCTTTCCATCTCTCTAGCCATACTACCTCTCTCTACTCACAAACGAAGAGTGAGAAGCTCTAGCTTCTCTCTAGCTTCGTGGCTCGCCAAAAATTGCCCCGCTGGCGGCGCCTCCCTATACCACCCCAAGCACCACCGCCAGACCCAGATCTCCAGTTGATCTTCAATCAGGATCTTCGTATCTTCAACTAACCAACCCATAAACCCATCCAAACCCTTAGAACCTAAAACCCTTAGCCACCGTGGGCGGCCATTGAGGCTGCTGTGAAGGATGAATGTCTGCCAGAGACATCATCCATAAACGCAGAACAGCCCAAGAACCATATGAACTTATGCCCCAATTCCAAGAACCCTAGCCTAGAACAAAAGAAAGGATGAACCCTAACCCTAAACCACATGAACCCTAACCCTAAACCTACGAACCCTACCCCCAAACAAGAAGCCTAATCCCCAAATTTCTAGAAATTCAACAACATCACAACAACCAGAGCAAAAATCATAAGCTAAGTGATTTAGGTTTACCGTCCGTGCAGTGATACTTTTTGTGATTTCCTTTAAATCCCCCCCTCGTTCTCGTTCTAATCATCTTTCTCTGTTTTGGTTTGCAGGTACAAGGATGATGATGAACTCGCAGCAAGGACTTCAATTTCTCCTTCTTCTTCTCCAATCTCTACTCCTTCTTCTTCTCCAATCTCTAAGTTTCGGTCCTCTTCTGAGTCTTAGGATTAGGTTTATATAGTTTTTAGGAATAGATTAATTAGGAAATTAGTTTAAGTTAATTGTTGTTACAAATCAATCAGATTGTTGATTGATTCTATTAAAGATTGATTGGAGATTTGATTTAGAAATTAGTATAGATTTGTTTAAAAATTAGAATTTGGGTTTCAGATCTTGTAATGTACTTGGACTATTTCTGTATACAAATTCATCAATTA